GGAGTAGAAAGTGATGAGCTCAGAGATGGTGGTCAGGACCGATGAGTGGTCAGATGTGGGAAGCCGTGTCCAGGGTCATTCCTGGACTTGTGGCAGGAACCGTGGGTGCGTGGACATCCGTTTCCCTTTCCCGAGGGAAGTCTGAGAGCAGGACAAGACTTGGGAGAATGTGTTTAGGGGCATTTTAAATCTGCTCCATGAAGGTTTCAGAGAGGCAGAAGAAGAAATGTAGGGCTGGAGCAATAGCACAGCGGGTAGGACATTTGCCTTGCATCCGATCAACCCGGATTCGATTCCCAGCATCTCATATGGTCCCCTGAGCACCTCCAGGAGTAACTCCTGAGTGCAGAGCCAGGAGTAACCCCTGTGCATCGCCGGGTGTGATCCAAAAAGAAAAAAGAAAAAAATAGAAGAAGAAATCTAGAGCTCAGGAGTCTAGATGTGGGGGTGAGATGTTTGGGAATTACTGACTGGCAGGAGTTGGTACATCAAGATGTGGGCCAGAGTTGCTGGAGAGACAGTATGGAGGGTAAGGCGTTTGCCTTGTGCACGGCTGACCCTGAACCCCACATATGGTCCCCCAAGCCTCACCAGGAGCGACCCCTGGGCGCAAAGCCAGGAGTCAGCCTTGAGCACAGCTGGGTGTGGCACAAAAACAAAGATGTGGGCAGAGGGCCAGGGATGTAGCTCAGCAGCAGAGCACTTGCCTTCCCTGAGGCCCTGAGTTCCATCCATGGAACTGGGAGGAAAAAAGATGTATGTGCAGACCTCCTGGTGAGGAGGAGGGAGAAAAAGCAAGGGTTAAGGGAGGAAGAGCAGTTCTGAGCCTGAACTTTGGTTCCACCTTTAGAGGGCAGCAGAGGGAGGGCGCTGTGGTAGAAACGGCCAGAGAGTGGAAGTCATGATGCTCAGACTCAACACTGATGCTTTCCAATGGGCAAATGTTAGCTCAAATCCGAAGAAACTGCTGGGTTTGTGGAGTTCATGCCCAATTCAATCAGCTAATCAGTGGCTGAATAAATAGCAGTACTCCTACATTAAAAAAAAAAAAAGAAATTGCTGGTTTTTTTTTTTTTTTTTTTGCTTTTTGGGTCACACCCGGCGATACTCAGGGGTTACTCCTGGCTTTGCACTCAGGAATTACTCCTGGTGGTGCTCAGGGGACCATATGGGATGCTGGGAATCGAACCTGGGTCGGCCGCGTGCAAGGCAAACGCCCTACCCACTGTGCTATCTCTCCAGCCCCAAATTGCTGGGTTTTTGTGTTCTTGGGTTTTTTTTGGTTTGGGTTGTTTTGGTAAGTCAGAACCAGGCAACACGGGCAAGTTGATCTGTGGTTTACTATGATTAGACCAACTTGAATGACTAACTTGTGAATGTAGCCTGAGAAATTCTGATCAAGATGTTGGAGGATCCAGGCTGGAGTTGGGGAGATGTGGGTAGAGTGAAGGAGTAGAATTGAGCATTTGGGAACCCATGATCTGGAATTAGGAGTGGAATGGTCAGGGCCTGATCACTGCTTGAGTCCAGCCGCGGGTGTGGGGAGAGCAGGAAATGGGAAAATCTTTGCATCTCGGGCTTGGCAGCAGAGTGACTGAATGTGGTATCAGTGGGCGCAGGGGGGCTGGGCGTATATTTGGAGGAAGGATGCCCACAAGATGGAGTGAGAATGGGGTGGGTGGAACTGGAGTTCCTCTGAATCTTTTTTTGGTTTGTTTTATTTTGGGGCCAAACCCAGTAGTTCTCATGAGTTACTCCTGACTCCGCCCTCGCGAGTCACTCCTGGTGGGCTTGGGTGCCAGGGATCAAACCCACTCTACTATTGTTCTGGCCCCTATGCTAGATCTTCTGAGTGGGGTGATGAGCAGACATTTGGACCATCAGCTGTTCATTAGCATCCCCATGTTCCTGGCTCCCAAATATAGACTCCTTTCGGGGAGAAGGGGGTGTTAAATGCATACAGGCGAGAATGAAATAATTAGTATTTATTGCATATCTACCAAGTATGGGGGTTTTTCTAGGTGTTGGGTTATACCATTATACAGTGACTAAGTGCCTCTGTTTGGAATTTATGAAAGAGATAGATAATAGGTAAGTAAACCGAATAATTGCGCTTCAGTCCAGGCAGGGGATGAGGGTGTTTGGGAAGGTTCATCAGGAAGGTCTCTCAGAGGTAATATCAGAGCCAGGTGTGTGTGTGTGTGTGTGTGTGTGTAGGTCTCTCGAGGTAATATCAGAACCAGGTGTGTGTGTGTGTGTGTGTGTGTGTGTGTGAACTATGGGGGCATCTGGAGAGTCTAGGAGTCTAGAAGCAGAGTCTAGAGTCTAGAGAAGGAGCAGCCGGGGTGCTGGTGCAGCTGGGGTGGGGTGCGTGAGCAGGGTGGGTGCGGCTAGAGAGGTCCGCCCCAGCCTTGCCAGGAAGGAAGGGCCTTCGTAGGTAGCCCACTGCTGTTGGGAAGGCGGGGTTGGACAAGAAGAGAATTCATGGAGGACTTCCCCTTCTGTCTGCGTCCCACAACCAGAAAAGCCTCTTTGTGCAGAGGGTGGGTGGTCCGTTCTGGGGGGGCGAGGTGGGGGACAAGGGCCAAGCTCCTTCCAAGGCCTGTTCCTGGGGATGCTACACAATGGGCCCCTTGTGGTGGAACTCGGGGGGCTAAGTGGGCCTCTTGGTGATGGGATTCCTCCACCAGGAGGCATGTGACCCCCAGACCTTGGCTTCTTGGCAAGGGTTTGGGCCTGCACTGGGGAGATGGGAGAGGTCAGGATGGGGTGGGAGGAACATCCCCTGGAGACGTCCTGAGACACTGCCCTGCCCTGTCTCAGACTGGGGGAGTGGGCGGGGCAGGGGCCCACAGGGAGCAGCCACAGATGGTTTCCCCCGGGCGGGCCAGAGGGAGGAGCTGGCTGCCCCACGCCTTGTGTCCCTTCAGAAGCGAGATCATGGAGCTGGAGAGGATCGTGAGCACAGCCCTGCTCGCCTTTGTCCAGACGCACCTCCCAGAGGCTGACCTCAGGTAGACCAGCACTCCCAGCAGGAGGATGTGGCCAGGGCCAGGGCAGGAGCTGCGGGACAGCACTCTGCCTCGTGGGAGGGCTGGGGCAGGGAGCTCCTACCTTGGGGGTACCTGTGGTGGTGAGGGGTGGGGGTGCTGGTGCTGACTTGCGGGTCTGACCTTCCCTTTGACACTGTCCTTGTCACCCAGTGGGACCGATGGGAAACGGAGGGAGGGTGGAATACTCCAACACAAGGATTGAGGGCAGACTCATGGACCCCATGGAGCTGAGAGTCGGCGTCTCAGACGGGTGGGGATCTACATCCTACCCAGCATGGTGTGTCCCCTTCCTCAGCGGCTTAGATGAGGTCATCTTCTCCTATGTGCTCGGGGTCCTGGAGGACTTGGGCCCCGCCGGCCCGTCAGAGGAAAACTTCGACATGGAAGCCTTCACCGAGATGATGGAGGCCTACGTGCCCGGCTTCGCGCACATCCCCAGGTGGGGGCCTGGCTGGAGCCGCAAGGATGAGGGGGGCTGGCCGATAGTGGCGGGGCCGTCGCTCATCACTCTCCTTGCCTTTTTTTTTTTAGGGGGACAATAGGAGACATGATGCAGAAGCTGTCAGAGCAGCTCAGCAGCGCCAGGAACAAAGGTGAGTCTGGGAGCTGGGCATCAGCCTCTAACCGCCAAACCCTAACATCCTGGCCCACCTGATACTCTTCTTTGCCTCTTCAAGAGAACCTGCACCCGCAGAGCTCTGAGGTCCAAGGTCAGGTCCCCTTCTCCCCAGAACCCCTCCAGAGGCCTGAAAAGCTCAAAGAAGAAACTAGGTCTTCTCTTGTCGCTACTGGGGACGCCCACGATGAGGTACTGGCAGAGGAGGAGGGCACCAACAAGGGGGCGAGGGGTGGCAAAGGAGGAAGTAATACCTCTTGTCGACATTGATGTCCACAGGCAGCTGGGACTGAGGAAGACCTGCTGCCAGGAGTGGATGTTCTCCTGGAGGTCTTCCCCACCTGTTCAGTGGAGCAGGCCCAGTGGGTGCTGGCCAAAGCTCGGGGGGACTTGGAAGAGGCTGTGCAGATGCTGGTAGAGGGGAAGGAGGGGCCTCCAGCCTGGGATGGCCCCAGCCAGGTATCCCTGCCACGGCCCTACCCCCCTGTAGTAGCCTTAGCTCCATACATCTTAGTGTTAAGCCCCTGCCCAGAGCTTGTCCCTGGGCCCTGCTGGTGCCACAGGGCCGAGACCAGGCTTCCCTTTTCTGCAGGACCTGCCCAGGTGCCTCAGGGGCCCCCAGAAGGATGAGCTGAAGTCTTTCATCCTGCAGAAGTGAGTCTGGGCTAGGCTGGTGGAGCCCTGGGGGGGGGGGTCGTCCCAGGAGGGCGGTAGGACCATCACGCAGCTGGTTTTTGGCAGGTACATGATGGTGGATAGTGCAGAAGACCAGAAGGTGCATCGGCCCATGGCGCCCAAGGAGGTGAGGGGGGACTGCTCGGGGTGTGGCGGGGTTTGGGGGCGGGGAGGTGTCTCCCGGTTTCCTTGTCTCACTCCCTGTTGGCTTGACAGGCGCCCAAGAAGCTGATCCGATACATTGACAACCAGGTCGTGAGCACCAAAGGGGAGCGATTCAAAGATGTGCGGAACCCTGAGGCGGAAGAGATGAAGGCTACATATATCAACCTCAAGCCCGCCCGGAAGTACCGCTTTCACTGAGGTGCCTGCCGGACTCAGCACCAGCCTTTCTCGGCTCAGCCCTCAGAGGGATGCAGGAGCCCTAAACTTCCCACAGGGCCCACCCAAGCCCCGCCCCCTTCTCTACGTTCCTCTCCACAGTGTTAATCTCCTCTTGGAGCTGCCCATGGGTATAGTAAAGGTGGCCCCAGGAAGGTCTGAGTGCATGCTGGTCATTTCTGCCTCAGAGCTGGGGTGTTGGGATTCTGTGTCTGTCTGACTTTCTCTCCCATCTTCAAATCCGTCTCTAGCAGGGCAGCAGCGCCAGGCAAGAGAGGGGTGAAAAGCTCTTTATTGGATGCTCTGGGTAGGGCCGGGCCTTGGCCCCCACAGTCCGGCTTCCCTCTAGCTCACAGTCAGGCCCGGCCACACAGTCCAGCTGTGTCCCATGGGAGCGTGAGTTAGACCTGCAGGTTGACGAAGGGTGCGAAGCCGGCCATGTCCCGCAGCAGTACCAGGGCCTGGTGCAGTGGTGGCTCCACATCGATGTCCACACCACGCTTCCGCAAGCGGCTCAGGCTGACTTCAGCCACATGGTGGCAGTGTCGAACCCGCAGTGAACGCAGCGCCGGGCAGTACTCGGCCAAAGTCCTGGGAGAAGCGGAGCTAGAGTCACTATCGCGAGGGGGTGCTGCAAATACCTCTTCTTCCCTCTAGTCTGGGCATCTTTTCTACTTTCATACACTTGGGGTCTCCACTGAAATGGGGACTTCCTTTTTTTCTTTGGTGTGTGGGGGGCTATGTTGTGCTCCCCGTGGTGCTCAGGGATCACTCCTGGCAGGCTCAGGGACTACATGAGGATTGAAACCGGGTTGCCTCATGCAAGGCAGATATACCCTAGGCGCTGTACTATTACTGTGGCCTTGAGATTTCCTCTTTAAAAGGGCGTCCTGCTCTAAAGATCTGCCAAAGATGGCAAGGTTTCCCACGAACTCTTCCCCATGATCTCAGAGGTACCACAACCCCCATCTGCCCATCCAGAAGTTCTGAGTGGGTCGGAGAGAGTTCAGTGCATGCTAGGCCCACCGGCAACCTCCCCTTAGCACTGCCAGGTGTTTCTCAACTCCTGTCCCCAAACTTTTTAAACTGGCGCGCAGGGCGATGGTGGTTTCTCTGCTTAAGCAATTCTAGAGGCTTCCTGCTTTGAATTGGAGGTTATGTGGCAGAAAGATCCAGAAGACCTGGTTTCTACCTTTTGACTACCAGTACCCACCCTGACCCTCAGCAGTAACTAACCACCAGCCCCTTGGCCTTGGCACCTGATGCTGTCGCTTCCCACACGGAGGCAGCCGGTTAGGTCAAGGTGCTGGAGCTGCGGGCAGTTGCGGGCCAACTCCTGGACGGCGGTGTCCCCCACGTTGGCATTAACGGCGAGCGAGACGCTGCGAAGGCTCGCGCCGCGCCTCTGCGCCAGGTACACGATGGCTTCATCCTTGAGCTGCCGGCAGGCAGTGAGGTCCAGCTCCTCGAGAGCGGGGCAGCGGTCGGCGAGGCCCCGCAGCGCCAGCCCATCCACCCAGTCACAGTGCGCAAGCGACAGGCGCTGCAGGCGGGGGCAGCCTTCGGCCAGCGCCCCCAGCGCGCAGCGGCTCAGTTGCCCGCAGCTGGCCAGAGCCACGCTGCGCAGCTGTGGGTTCCGCGCCAGCACGGGCAGCAGGTCCTCGTCTGAGAGCCATTCGTGACAGGGCGCCAGCGCCAGCTCCTGCAGCCCTTCGGCGTCCCGCAGTAGGCAGGTCAACGCGGCCCGCGGGATCTGCGGACCCAGCTGCGGGCGGGGAGGCGACACTCAGCCGAGCCCCGAACCCGGAGGGCGCTGCCAGTCCGCTCCGAGAGTTCTTTCCGGGCAGCCGCCCACCCGGAGGAAACCCCCAAACGCCCTCGGGGAACACCCGGTACCCGTCCTTCCGGAGCACTCCCCGCAAGTAGCATCCTCCCCTGGCATTTCGGAAGGCCCCAGGGGGGTCTGCCAGGGTAGACCTGAGCTCCGGGGGGGCTGGGGCGGGGCTGAAGGCGGGCGGGGCGGGGCCTAGGCGGGGGGCGGGGCCCGGCCCCGGACTCACCTGAGCGGCGTCAAAGCGGCGCAGCCCCGCCAGGTGCAACTGCACCAGGGCCTGGAAGGCCCGACTGACGCGCTGCAGCCGGAGCAGCTGGCGCAGCGGGACCAGACTCAGGACGTGTGGGAGCAGCACGTCTTCCCAAGGCAGGTCCAGGAGCCTGCGGGTAAAGGGACACTGGGCACGGCGTCCTTGGGCCGCTCGGCACCTGGACTCCTCCTCCGTGACCCTCCTGCGTCCCAGCCGCTGAGAGCGGACCCCTCGACCCGGCCCGTGTTCAGCTCCCCCACCCCCACCCGCCAGGTCCTTTCCCCCGACCCTGTCTCGGCCCCTCCGGCACTCGGTACCTGACGGCTCTGGGCGCTTGCTCCCCTCCGGACGGCTCCATCGGTGGCTCCGCGGTCTCCCGCGCGTGCGCACTGCGCTGCGGCTCTGGCCTTGGGGCGGCCGCTGCGAGTCCGCCTCCCGGAGCCGGGGACAGGCCGATTAAATCGAGCGCCGTCTTCGCGAGGAGCCTGTCCGAAAGCGTTCCGGATGGATCCCGACCGCGACGGGGACCCCCTCCCCCCCCCCCCCCCGCGCCTCCCCGCCCGCCGCCCCGCAAGACCGACCGGCGGCGTAAACGTTAGACCTCGCCTTCTCGGCCACCGGGCTGGAGGCCCGCGGCGGAGAAGGTGATGGGCAGCCGGACGGGCTCGGATTTTCGTCTCGGGCCAGTGGCCGCCTCGGAGTGCAGCGGTGATGGGAGGAGCAGGCAAGGCCCAACGCAGAAGGGGCGGAGCCCGTCTCCTAGGCTCTAGGCCTACCCTCTGCCCTCTAGTTGCGCTTAGCGAGCGACTTTGAAAAATAGGCAACACACTATCTGGCACGTAATAGACGCCGAATAACTGTTGAATGAACGCACGGGCGATGCTAGAATTTTCTACGAGCAGAATTCCTCAGACCTCCCATTCTTAGTTAGTGGTGAAGTATGCAGCTCTCCCGCCCCTTCCACCCTGATTTATTTGGGATGCGTCTAGACCCGGTGTGCGAAGTAGGGGGCACCAGCAAGGGCAGCCAGGTCCCTCTCCTTTTTCCGAGCAATCCAGAGTTCTGAGAAGGATGAGTGCCCGGCCTACTCCTTTGGCCTGGCAGTTTTTTTTTTTCTTGTTTGATTCTTTAATTAATTAATTAATTAATTTTGCTTTTTGGGTCACACCCGGTGATGCACAGGAGTTCCTCCTGGTTCATGCACTCAGGAATTACTCCTGGCGGTGCTTGGAATCAAACCTAGGTCGGCTGCGTGCAAGGCAAATGCCCTACCCGCTGTGCTATTGCTCCAGCCCATGGCCTGGCAGTTTTTTTTTTTTCTTTTTGGGTCACACCTGGCAATGCACAGGGGTTACTCCTGGCTCTGCACTCAGGAGTTGCTCCTGGCGGTGCTCAGGGGACCATATGGGACGCTGGGAGTTGAACCCGGGTTGGCTGCGTGCAAGGCAAACGCCCTACCCGCTGTGCTATCTCTCCAGCCCCAAGGCCTGGCAGTTTTTAATTGGGATGTTAACACCCAGAATTCACAGCAGAGTTCTGTGCTATCCTTTCGCTGAGTCCCCCAAGCTCGGGATCAATTCCGAGGGACGCCTGGAGCAGTGCTTTCCCAGTCATCTGTTGGTGGGGAGTGTTTGAAAGGGAGTACTATTGTTATCCCTGAGAGATTCCCTGTCTCCCTCAGCAGTGCTCCATTGCACTTTTGTGCAACCATTTTATATGCTCCTTCCTGAGGAAAACTGCTTCTTATCTATTATTATCAGAGCTGGAGTTGTCGCTCCACTTTAGTTTTGTTGTTTGGGTTGGGGGCAAATGCTCAGGGATTTCTCCTGGTTCTGCACTCAGGAATCACTCATGGCGGTGCTCCGGGGGGACCACATGGGATGCCAAGGATAGATCCAGATCAGCTGTATGCAAGGAAACACACTACCTGCATTCAGGCCCCATCCACTATAGTTTTTTGTTTTTAATCCACACCCAGGGATGCTGTGAGGGAGAGGGGGGCTACTCTTGGCTCAGTTCTTGGGGGTCATTCCTACTAGTGCTCAGGAAATCATGCAGGATGGGGATTGAACCTGGAACTCCAGCATGGAAAGCAAGTGCTCCAGCCCTTTGAGCCCTCTCCCTGTCCTGGTAACTCCACTTTAAAGATGAAACTGAGGGGCCGAAGCAATAGTACAGTAGGTTGGGCATTTGCCCTGCATGCAGCCGACCTGAGTTCAATCCCTGCTATCCCACATGGTCCCCCAAGCACCACAGGAGTAATTGCTGACTGCAGAGCCTGGAGTAATCCCTGAGCATCGCCTGGTGTGACCCAAAAGCAACAAACAGGGGCTGGAGCGATAGCACGGTGGGTAGGGCGTTTGCCTTGCACGCAGCCGAACCAGGTTCGATTCCCAGCATCCCATATGGTCCCCTGAGCACGGCCAGAAGTAATTCCTGAGTGCAGAGCCAGGAGTAACCCCCGTGCATTGCCGGGTGTGACCCAAAAAGCAAAACAGAACAAACAAAAACAAAAGCAACAAACAAATAAAAAGATAAAGATGAAACTGAGGAGTCAGAGAGACACTACAGGGGTTTGAGGGGCTTGCTCTCTTGCATGCTGCAGACCTGGGTTTGATCCCGTCCACCCTATATGGCTCCTTTAGACCTGCCAGGAGCAATATCTGAACGCAGAGCCAGGACTAAGCTCTGGGCATAGCCAGATGTGGTCCAAATACAAATAAAATAAATGAAGGTGAAACCAAGGCCCAGGAGAGCAAACACGTTGTCCTCGGTGAAGCGAAGCAGGGAGAGTGAACTGGTTTCCCCGGCATCCCTTCCCCACGCAGCGAGAAGGGGGAAGGCAGCTGGAAAGACCAGAGAGGGGTCAACTCGGGTGAGAGACGAGTCCCCTCTTCCTCAGTCGCCTCGGGGAGGGCTGGCTGGGAGGATCGACTCCTGCTAAGATGGAACCACGTGGGCGCGCACCACCGCGGGGCGCGCGCTCCTCCTACCCCCTCCCCGCTTTGTTCGTGCCTCTGCGCCTGCGCAGTGCGACAAATCTGGCGCTGTCCCCTTCAGCACCACGCGGAGCCCGCGCCGCCCCTCCCGCGGTGAGCTTCGCGCGCCCCCGCCTCGCACGTCCCCGCGCCCCCTGACCGCCCAAACAGACCCCCCCCCACCTCGCGTCCTTCCGAGGTCACCGCCTGCCTGCCCCGGTCTTTCCAAGGAGAGCGGCAGCCTTAGTAATTGGTGGCGTTTTCTTAAAATAACTGCGCCCCCTTCTACCTTGGCCAAGGGCACAAGGGCTGTCTGTCCCCTACTTCCTCCAGTCCCGGCGTGGCATCCACCTTCCTGTTCCCAAACCACAGGACATTTAACTCGGGCAGCAAGGAAGTTCTGGAAGTCTGGCTGACACCCCCCCCCCCCAGCCCCATCGTCCTGTGTCCTGGGTGGGTGGTCAGGGTCAGGGCGCCCGTCCGCCCTAGCGGGTTGCGGCTGCGTGCCCCGCAGCTCTCTGCCAGACATCGATGGTCTTCGGGATTTTAGGGGGCGGGTCCAAGTCTACACCCAGGCCGTGTACTTGGTTCGGCCGCGTGCTCGTGGGGGCGGGAGCGCGTGTGGCATGTAACAGGTCATGTGGCCACCTCCTAGGGACACGCGTGGGGTCCGGAGCGGGGCTTGCGTGTGCAGCTGGGTCCTGCATCGGTCCTCGGAGGGCAGCGGGCGAGAGGGACGCGGCCTCAACTGGGGTGGGGCTCATGAGGGTCTGCGCGCAGAGCTTGGGGCTCCAGCCGGCCTCCCCCTCGTCAGGGGCGGGTCTCAGGTTGGCGGGAGAGCCCAGCGGGGACCTAGTGTAGAGGGGTGGAGGAGAGCCTCTGGGGCCGGGCCCGGAGAGCCGCGGGGTGGGGTGGGGTGGGTGGGGGGATTATCTCTGCCTGAGCGGCGCGTAGGGGGAGGAGGAGGGACTGCGAAGCGGGCGGGCGGGCCTGAAGCAAGCGGGAGCAAGCGGGAGCCGCCTGCCTTCACAGCTGAGCTGGGCCCAGCCTCTCCCTTCATCTCCTCGGTCCCAGCTCCCGGCGAGCCGTGGTGAGTACCCAGGCGGCGGGAGTCGGCCATGCACTGTCGGTGGGGTGGGCTGCATTGAGATTCCTGCAACCTGCCCGGCCGGGTTGCTGCTCCTGACCTCTGCCCCTACCCTAGATTCGTACCAGAGCCCCCACTGCCTCTCATGGGCCCCTCCTGGCTCCACAGGATCCATCCTAATTCCCTGGGCGGAGGGCTGGAGGGCTGGAGGGAGGACGCTCTAGGCTGCCCTCCCCAGAGACTGGTGCCTGGGGAGGGTGGGGGAGAGGGTGTGTGTCCCTGTTTAAGCCTCTGTGTGTGCACGCTTGCGCGTGTGTGTCTGTATGTGTGTGTGTGAGTGTATGCAGGCGTGTGCATGCCTGTTTGTGTGTGGCGAGTGGTCTCTGGGTGTGAGAGCCTGCGTCTGTCCACACTGGGGAATGAGGAGCTGTGTCTTGTGTCAGGGTGGCTCTTTGTGTGTTCACGTTTGATGACATTATGTGTGTAGAGCCAGCATGTGCCTTTCCATGACACGCATATTTGTTGTGGCTATGAGAGTGCGGCTGAGGGTGTGTCTCTGAGCAATGTGTGTGTTGTGCCTGTGTCTGTGTGCTGGAGGGTGTTGCCTATGAAGGCATTTAACCGTGTGCTGACATATTTGTGTGTGTGTGTGTGTGTGTGTGTGTGTGTCCACCTGCATGGAGAAGAATGTTCTTTTCCCTTACAGTTGAGCATGTACGTGTTGGGCTAGGGCCTCTGTCAGGCCAGTTGGCTCCCCTTCACGCTGTACCTCTGGGCCCCTCATGGTTCCTGAACGAGCCTTGCCCCACCCACCCCTGCTTTCCCTCTCCCTCTCCTTCCAAGAGGCCTGACTTCTCCCTTCCTGAGAGAGGGACCTCCTCTGAGGGACTCAGAAGGATCCATGGCTTTATGATGGCAAAGGCTGGCTGAGACCCTGGTCCAGAAGGAGCCCCTCCCAGAAGTGGCTCCCAAATGCCACAGGGACTCAGGGCTCTCTCAACTTCTAAAGCATCTGCCCCTTTCCTCCCAGGCTGAGGGCCCCAGGCAGAAGGACAGGGGCCAGGGGCCACTTTAGGTCTCTGTGGAAGTGGCCCCAGCAGGAAACCAGGTCACCCCCAGGGGTGGGATCAATGCCCCTGTATTCCTCTACGGGTTCTGCACCAGGGCTCTGCCACCCCAGCCAGCTTCCTCTCTGTTCCTGCTCTTATATGGGCGGGGGAGGGGTCACATCCAGCAATCCTCAGGGCTAACTCCTGGCTCTGCACTCAGGAATCACTCCTAGCAGTGCTCGGAGGACCATAGGAGAAGCCAGGGATCGAAACCGCATTGGCCGTGTGCAAGGCAATTGCCCTCCCCGCTGTCCTGTTGCTCGGGCCCCTGTCCTTGCTCTGGTACCTCTCGAGCTCCTCAGCAGTTCACCCCTGCTCCCCTTCCTCTCTTGCAGGCCTGTCTGAAGAGCATGCTGCCTCCTCACTCCCCGCCTGGCCTCGCCATCCCTGCCCCCCCAGCCTGACCCCCGGCACCAGCATGGCCCAAGGTGCCATGCGCTTCTGCTCGGAAGGCGACTGTGCCATCTCCCCACCACGATGCCCGCGCCGCTGGCTCCCCGAAGGCCCCGTGCCCCAGAGCCCCCCGGCC